ACGGCGAAGAGGATGATGAAGCTCTTGCAGATGGTTGTCGTAACCAAAGAAGCCAAAGAACGCGCCGTTTGCCACAACTCGATACTCGCCTCAAAGATCGGACACGGACAATCGAGAGGTGACGCTTAGATGACCACGAGATGAGATTGTCCCGAAAAACACGCGTGATAGCCGAAGTGGACTTGCGCGTGTCGGGACAGCCCGCCTAATCTGCATCTGTGTGTAGACGGTCGGATCTCATCGGTGAGGTCGGTGAAGATGAAGACCAAGATCCAAGGTACCACGAAGGTAGCGAAGAATGCGCTTCATAGCGCATGATGAGGCTCCCGGGGTCATGCATGTAGAGGCACACCGCTGGGAAAGCATAAGCAATATACGGACGAGTAAAAGTGAGATATGAAGAGCACCGGCAATCTGTAGGAGGAGGAGGGGTCGGTGACGGCAGCTCCATCGGCAGAAAGCTTGGAATGAGTATCCACAGGTGTCTTTGCAAAGGCTTGACTAAGCATACCAAAGACGGTCAAGAATGTCCAGAATATCTTGTATTTGGGAGAGGAACAAGTTGTCACTCTGACACTGCACACACCGACGCCGAGGAAGTGGTGAAGAGCCCATATATCTCATCATAGAGAATTCTTGGCGGAGAGCATGGATGATCCGCTGCAAAAAACTCGTAGAGGAGGCTGTAAGAACAATGTCATCAACATAGAGAAGCAAGAATGCCATATCAGTACCCCGGCTGTATATGAACAGAGAACTGTCAGTCTTCGCCTCAACAAATCCGAGAGAAGTGATATGACTTGCGAAGCGATGATGCTGTGCTCGGGGTGCTTGCTTCAAACCGTAGAGTGACTTGTTCAACCGGCACACGTAATCTGGGCGGGAGGTGTCAACAAAAACCGCGAAAGTTGAACACAATATCTGATCTCATTCAGGATGCCATGGAGAAATGCATTCTTCACATCAAGCTGATGAATAGGCCATGAATGAGAGAGTGCGAGTAAGAACTGCATGCGGATGGTTTTTGGTTTGACCTTTGGGCTGAAAGTCTCATCATAGTCGATACGATACCGGACGCTGTGTGTGAAGCCATGAGTACCCAACGAGCTTTGTAGCGGTCCGAGAGCCATCGACTTGAACTTGTGACGAAACACCCATTTTCCGAAGAATAAGGTTGACACCGGACGGTCGAGGCACCGGGGTCCATGTGTCATTAGCTGCAGAGCATCAAACTCATCATCCGCATTGCACTGCGGCGCCATGCGGGTCGTCGTCCGGCGACGGACCGAGGAAGGCATGTGGGACAGCGGTGCCGCGTGAAGGTTGAGACGGTCAACGGGCTGCCGGATGCCGTCCTTGCCGCGTGTGCGCATGCCGTGTGCGTTGACGACAGGTGCTTGTTGTAGAGGTACTGTGGCGGTGGTGCGGCGGCCGGGCGCCGCGCCGCCATCGGCAAGCAACTGGGACGAACCGTCCGCGAGGGCGATGGCACCAGCCTTGGTCAAGCGGGGCCACCAAGAAGACTCGTGGGCAGCTCAACTAGAGAGGAGCCGTGGCCGCCCGTGGCCGACGCGCCGTGGCCGCCCGAGGCCAAGGCGGTGGGGTCGAGGCCGCCAGTGGCCAGAGAGTCGGTATGACCCCCCGGAGCAGCATCCATGCCGCCGGGGAGGCGGTTACCTGCAAGCACAGCTCTTGCGCCATCGGGCGAAGAGGAATCATCAGCATCCAAAAACTCAAGTGTGGTGTGGTCACGTGGGGAAGAGGACATATCGGCGAGGGGAAAACCGTCTCATCGAAGGTGACATGGCGAGAGATGATGATACGGTTTGTGTGAAGATCAAGACACCGATAACCCTTATGATCGATGGAGTATCCGAGAACACACACGAGTGGATCGAGGTGAAAGTTTATGCTTGAGTTGTGGATGATAGGTTGGGATAGCGAGTACGAAAAAAGCGCGTAAGTGATCATACGAGGTTGCGTGCCATATAGGGAAAAGAAAGGAGGAGGCCGTCGAGGGTTTTAGTGGGGTGACGATTGAGAAGATATGTTGCGATGTGTGCAAGGAGTCACCCAATAAACGGGAGGAAGACTAGCTTTGAAAAAGAATGGAGCGCACAATATTATTTATAGTGCGAAGAATGCGCTCGCCCGCCCATTTTTTGTGAAGTGTAAGGGCGGGACATGCGAAGAACGACTCCATGAGTGAGGAAGAACGTGCGGGCCGAAGAATGGTCGAATTCACGGCCGTTGTCGCACTGGACTGCCTTGATGGAGGAGCCGAACTGCGTACGCACATAGGAAAAAAAGTGAGTAATGGTACCAAACGTGTCGGATTTGAGGCGTAAAGGAAGCGTCCAAGTGTAGTGTGTGCGATCATCTAAAATAACAAGATAATATTTGTAGCCGGACACACTAACAAGCTGGGGATGTCCAAAGATCACAATGGATTAAATCAAAGGCGTGCGAGGCACGAGAGTTTGACATGCTAAAAGGAAGGCGCACATGGCGACCCAAGGCGACAAGCGTGACAAATATGAGTATCATGGCGCTTATTACATGGAATAGCATTGGAACTAATGAGCGTGGACAAAGCCTCATAACCGATATGACCGAGACGACGATGCCATAGAGTGGTGGAAGATGCAGAAGTGAGGCGGGCAAGTGGTGTTGGATGGCGTGAAGAACGGGTAAAGGTCTCCGTGCTATTGCACTGGCGATCACGCTCCGTAATACGAAGATCCTTCACAGAAAGGCGAAGGATCAAACTCAATGGAACAATTATTATCAGTAGTAAACCGGCGAACTGAAATCAGATTCTTAATAATGTTTGGAGAAACTAAAACATTAGAAAGAACTAGAGGACGCCCAGTGTTCGAAAAAGAGTGTGATCCAACGGAAGTAACGGGAAGTAAGTTCCCATCACCAACAATGATAGATGAAGGATGCGACGAGGGAGGGTGAGAGGTGGTGAGTATACCGGCGTTGTTGACCATGTGGGAGCGGTACCGAGTCAAGATACCATTCGCCGGGCGGGAGGGAGAGCGTCATGGTGCTCTTTGAAGTTGTTGGCGGCGAGGACGCGTGTCGAAGCGCCTCCATGCATGGGCGTCCAGTGCTCTGCTCTTCTTTGTGGTGGCGGCGGGCGGCGTGGTAGCCCGGCGCCCAGCCCGTAGCCGGATGGTGCGCCAAGCTCAGTGGCGGGCGAAGCGGGTGGAGCGGCACGGTAGCCGCGGCGGCGCGCTCGCCGCTGCGGCACGGCCATGTACCCTGCAGCAGGCGGTCTGGACATCGGCCTCGGAGCGGGGCGGTGGCTGAGACGCCAGTGGTCTGTCTTCTTGCGCCGGAAGCTGGTGTTGCCGTCGGCGGCGCTTCTGCTGCTGCTGTCGTCGCCCTACCGCTGCTGCTTGTTGCGTCGCGGCGGCGCGCCCGGAGCGCGCTACTGCTGTTGCCGTTGCCTTGGCCGGTGGGCGCGCCGCCCTGGTTGCGGCCAGGAGGAGCAGGGCCGCCGGTAGGGGGGCGCCATGCGGTGTTGGTGGAGCCCATGGCCGCAAGGAGCGCCGGTGCGCCCGCGGCCGGCGTGGTGCTGCTGGAGGACGTGCCGGCGTCGCCGGCGAAGTCGTTGAGGTCGATTTCCTCGAGGAGCAGCAGGGTTCTCGCCTCCGAGAAGCTGGGGAACGGCTGTCGCAGCTTGATGTTCGTCACCATGGGGCGGAACTTCTCGCTGAGGCCGCGCAGCAGGGTGAGGACGAGGGTGCGGTCGCCAACGGGGTCGCCAAACTCGCGAAGAGAGGCGGCCATCGTCTCGAGGCGTCGGCAGAAGTCCGTGATGGAGGAGGAGCCTTGTTTGACGGTGCGGAACTCGGCGGACAGCAAGAGGGCGCGCGACTCGCGCTGCCCGAGGAACTCGTCCTCCAGATGTACCCATGCGACCCGCGCGTTGGGCTCTTTCAACATCGTGGACTGCTGCAGGTCGGGGTTGATGGTGCCGTAGATCCACGTGAGGACGGTGCAGTTCATCTGCAGCCACGCCGGGCGATCATCGTTGACCACATCGGTGAGGACGTGATCGGTGAGGGCATATTTGCCCAAGACGACGAGGAAGAGGGCGCGCCACCGGGTGTAGTTGTTGGCGACGCGATCCAGGACGACGGGCACGAGCACCTTGATGTTGAGGACAGCGATGGCAGCGGCGTGGACGTCGGCGTACTTGGCCTCGTACTCGTCGAGGGCCTTGGCGCGGGCAGCGGCGGCCTCCTGGGCCTCCCGGGCGGCGCGCTCGGCCGCGGTCTCCGCCATGGTTGGGGTAGAGGCAGGAAACCGGCGGCGGGCGGACGGATCGGGTCGTGGCGGCGCGGACGGACCGTGGCGGCGTGGACGGATCGGTCGTGGCGGCGCGCGACGTGGCGACGGGATCGGCGGCCGGCGCGGATGGATCGGTCGGCGGCGCGATCAGAACTCACGGCGTCGGACGGACCGTGGCGGCGTGGACGAATCGGTCGTGGCGGCGCGCGACGTGGCGACGGGATCGGCGGCCGGCGCGGATGGATCGGTCGGCGGCGCGATCGAACGCACGGCGTCGTGGCGGCAAGACGTGTGGTACTCCGCGAGCCTTGGCCTGGGCGACGGAGGGAAGGCACGGGCAGAGGGCAGCGGCGGCGGCGAAGCGCGAGGCCCAATGACGGCGAGGCCGCGCGTCGGTCGTGAGGACCGGGCGGCGTCTAGGGTTCTTGAAGCGGGGATCGTAACCCCCTCTGATACCATGAAAGAATGTAAGGGATAGATCTATTGATTGCATCGGTTACATATTTATACAACCTCTGCACACATGCAGCCACATACGCGACACACACATGCAACCGCACATTGCTTAGTCTAACAGTCAGGAGTCAGGGAGAATCACATGAATCAAAGTGACAGCAACTCCAGATCTGAGTTGTAGCTAGCCAGGAGGTATCTTGGTTGGATAAGCCCATGCATGAGCAACTGAGTATCAAAAGATGGGACATGGAGTTGGTGAGAGGGGAGCAATGGCACATAGGGGCAAGTTCAGTATCCCATACGTCGCGTACGTGCCGCCAGCCGAAACCACCGGCTCCGAACGGGGACAGAACAGAACCGGCCGCCGGATTCCACTGGCACCGACCGACCGACGACGGGAACAGCTGGCTGGCACTTGAGCTGCGAGCACCCAACCAAACCGTGCATTTCAGCTAGAGCCGCACAAAACGGATCGGAGCAATCAGTTCCTTGCCGCGTCCCGCACCACTGCACCGCGCCGCGCCGCGCCGGACTACCGCACAGGAAAACCCAGCCTCCTCCTCGTCGCCCTACCACACCATCATTACACCTCGGCCGGGGCTGTAAAAGGCTCGGCGAAATGCGCTCAAAAGGCCTCGTCCCTCCTCCCATTTCGCACCGTACCCGGCCCGGTCGGTCCCCCCACGCAGAGCTACCGGAGCGCACCATAATATATTGCAGGGCACCGAGCAAAAGGGGAGCTTCTTCCATGATCATCATACCATACCAAAACCTTCCACAAGCCACAGCCCACAGGGCAACCCGCTACAAGCCTGTGCTCCGTCCAGCTTGCTGTTGCTTTTGTTCATTTTTCAGATCGGTGTGTTTTGTTTCCCTGATACTGGGGTTAGTTCTAGAGCGTTTGCGAGGTAAAGGCCGGACCCGGAGCATTTCAGAAGTTTGGAAGGAAGGATGCCTCTCAAGTTTGAGGTGGCATGAGTGGAGAGTGGAAGGCAGAGATACAGGTTCAGCTTGCTGCTCCTCTTCTCCTGCCATTGATTAGTACAGGCAACAGGGGTTTGTATTTGTGGCTTTTGAAGGGTGGTCAAATTGGTTAGCACAAATGCTAGAGTCTGGGAGACGAAGGCTTCTCCTTCTGTGCGCAAGCTTTGTGCTTCTTTCACTTCTTGGACCATCCAATGGCGCATCGAATTCCACGGAGAATCTCAGTGAGAGCCGCAACAAGACCAGCCATACTTTGGAGGTAAATCAAAGTTACGCCCTGTTCGCTTGAGTTTATTCAGAACTACTTTTCAGCTATAAAACAGTGTTTTTCTATCACAACATTTTAGCATAAGCATCAGCTTAAGCCGAATTTCAGCATAAGCGTAATTTCCAGCGTTCGTCTTTAGGTCTTCCAGTTACACTCTAGGATCTCTGGTTCTGAGTCATGTTGGGAAACACAAACCTTCATTACTGATTGCACAGGTTGCTTTTCTTCCAGATGACACCGAAAGTATCATTTCAGCTCAAGCTACACGCATTGTTCCACTGGTCTTCGTTTGGTTTCTTGATGCCTCTAGGAATAATACTAGTCAGAATGTCAAGCAAATGTCACAATGGCAGATGCATCAGAGCCCTCTTCTACTGCCATGCCATTTCACAGGTTTCCATCTTCTACGTGACATAATATTTTGTCTTAGAAATGTTTCTGTTTTACTGTTTCTTGTAGAGCATCAGAGGATAAACACTATGTACTCAACTGAGTGTGCAGACTGTGGCTGTCCTCCTTGCTACCGGTGGCGCTGTTCTGTCGTTGATGAACTTCGAAAACTCCTTCAGTAACAGTCACCAAAGAGTGGGACTGGCGCTATATGGAGTTATGTGGCTTCAGCCAATTATCGGTTTCTTCAGGCCAGAAAGGTAGAAGAAAATGACTTTCCATTTGTACCACAGCTACCTTTTCTATTTAGGCTAAAAAAAGCTACCTTTTCTATTTTCAACAAAGCTTATTATACCTAATTACCTACACCATCTAAACCATTTCCTTTCTCACATTTCTGCAGAGGCGTTAAGGTGAGGAGCTTATGGTATTTCTTCCACTGGCTCTTCGGAATCTCAATCTGCACCACGGGGATCGTGAACGTCTACATTGGCCTCCGCACCTACCATGAGAGGACCACCAAGAGCGTGAGGCTCTGGACCGGCCTCCTCACCGTTGAGGTCACCTTCCTGGCTTTCTTCTACCTCATGATAGACAGATGGAGCTACATGATGAAGTAAGGCCACGCCACTGTTGAGCAGCTAAGGCCAACCGATAATCGCAGAACCTATCCAACCACTCTTCGGAAGGAGCTGGCTCTGGTGCAGGAGTGAATCTCCAAATAGATAGAAAGGCAATGCAGGAAGGCGAGGTGCTTTCAGATTTGCTGAAGAAGATGCTAAATGCTGCTAATGGTTTGGTGACTTGTTTGCTTTGAGAGGTGTGGCGTTTTTAGAACATGTGAGAGTGTGCATTCCAGAATATATATTGTACAGTTTTTTACAGTTGAATTGAGAATGCAGAGGATCGGAGCCTCTGGTGTTGAAACTTGCACATCGACTTTTCATTTAATTTGCATGATACTACCATGTTTTCAGGACGAAATGATCAGAACTGTGCTTGGTGTCCATGTTCTAAGTATATGTTCCATGGGCACATACATTTTTTCCCCAGGTTTGCTACACATCAGAAATGTAGGATATGTGAAATTCCACTGTGGTAAAGACAGGAAGTTAACACCTTAAAAAATTGTAACACATGGCATCTTTTTATCGATACAGTTGCACCTCTATATAACTCTCCTTAATTCCTTATCTGTATTGGTATTCAGTATTCTGCATTTCGTACTGACCCCACACACAAAATATTGCTATGTGTGTGTGTGTATATATATATATATAGTATTACTATATGGGTACCTGGGTACTAAATAATTATTCAGTACCCAGCGTCTGTTGGCCGACAAATATGCCCACCGTGCCTGCACCCCGCCGTTCAGGCTCACAGGCCCGGCCCACCAACGGACGAGCTTGATTGGTTTAGCAGCTCGGGAGCTCCCCCAACCCAGATGCGGTTTCAATTTCCTCGCCCCCATCCGCTCGGTCTCTTCCCTTCCTACGCCGGCACCGCCCGTCCGCCCCCTCTCCGCTCGCCTGCTTCGGACCAACCCCCGCCGGCGCTCCTCCTCAACCCACCTCCGCTGGACTCCCGTCCGCTCGCCGCCGGTGCCGCCCCCGCCGGTGTCGCCCCACAACCCACCGTCGCTGCCCTGCTTCGCATCCTTGAGGCCTTGAGGGGACGGAGACGGGACACCGCCAGTCGCGCCTTGCCGCCGTTGGCCGCGGCCTGCTGTAGCTGCTTGAGGGTGTTGGAGCAGCAGACTTGCACGGCCACGGTAGTGTCCGGCAGCCGCAGCGTGCGGGAATACCACGTCTTGGCCAGCAGACATTCAACGTCGAGCAAAGCTGCCGCGTCCCCTCCAGGTACCGGGACTTCACCTTGTCGTTGTGGTTCACATTTATAATTCTTGCATTTTAATTTCTCATTTTTCTTCCACCTGTTGGGTATTATTTTTCCACATTAATTTCTGATTTTTCTTCTTCCACCTGTGAGAGGTTCTTCCCCTGGAACGATGGCCACCAAGCATCCACCTCCATTTGCAGCAGCTCGCAGTTCCTCAAATCAATATTTGTAAATTTGAGCTGTATAGTATAGGAATGCGGTATTCTAAATAGATTCTGATTCAATGTCTTCAGATTCCGGTTGGAGCTGGTTGATAAGATGCTTGACAACCCAAAAAGGATTGTTTTTTAGAGCACACAACAATGGTAAGTACATGTTTTTTTAGTGGCCTTTTTCATGTGTTGGAGCTGCTTTTCTCTCTAGGATGATGTTAATGTGATTATTCCCCGTTTAGATATGAGGTCCCTCTGCGACAAGAAAAGGTTAATCTGTTGCAATATGGAATTAGTTTTTTCTAAATGAATAGACAAAACTAGGTACATTCATTTACAGCTTATATAATCTTGTTTATGATTCTTTTCTTTCTAAATTTATATGTAAATGATATGATGCATGGACACATAATTAGAGAACAATTTAATATACATGGATTTCAATTTTGCTATCACAAATCACCAATATTCTTTCATTGCACTTTGGCTTGTCATTTTGTCAATTACACTGTTCATCTTGTTATGAAAGCTCACAAGATTTTCAATTCTTTTTATTTATTTTTTGCAGCTTTCCTACCACCTAACAATGTATGGCTGTGCCAATTTTTTTCACCCCTTCTTTTTTGTCAACAGGTATACTATCTTGACAACATTGACCACTCTGTCTCATTGGTGGACCGGACTTCGACTCCACGCCTCACCTTTTATGATAATGCTCTAATAGATCGCTTAACTGTTGCTGATACAACTATAACCACTCAGGGTGCACATACTTTTGGTGTCCAACCTGTGAGTCAGCTATCTTATCTGTTATATTCCTTTTCTTTTTTACAACCATATTATTAAGAAGCTTGTTTTCTTCACTTCAATGCTATGTCTAACAGTTCAAGTCATGGAGTACCACCTGCTATGCTGCTGCAGATGTCCGTGGTGCTCCCTGTCATAACATAAATGTTCCTGCGGCAGGAATACCCAATTTAAACATCCCACGCCTCCTGGATTTGTTATTTGAGCCGCTAGATGATCTGACTGGCTCGCATAGAGAGAGAGTACGGGGTTTCTTTTCTGAGTTTGATCACACACTCTCTCAAAACAAAAGGTCCATTGAGAATTCTATTGCAAACATTGTGAGAGCCCAGTTTCGGTTAGCTGATCAATGTCGTCCATTCATTCATGAACTCGTGGCATCACAAACCCGGGACACCAACATTCCAGGTGACACTTCTAGGACAATGCATACACGCAACGATCATGGTACCCGTGAATCAGCCCATTGTACCCCGCCTTCAATGCCAGGCAAACTCTTGCTTTAGTTGATAAATTCGTTATCTCACCCTGTGTCTTATTGCTACGTATCAAATATAGTCACACATTTTTTTCCATTTATGCCCAGGTCATGAGATTTATTCTCATGGTAGCTTTGTTTCTGCTGGTACTTTACTTCGGAGCCAGATTGATCAGGTATTGTCTACTTCCCCGATTGCATGTTTTTTTATCTCCATTCTTTGCTATTTCTATTTATTTTGTTATGTCATTTTCGTTATGTTTCATGTCTTCTACATTTGTAGGTCCTAGTTCATTTAACCCCACTTCACCGAGGGGTCCCATTTGGCTCCCCCTGTTCATTGTGTAGTTTCACCCCTCACGTTTCGAGGACTTACCTCGTCCATCAATCGCACCGCGCGCACCTCTTCAAAAGATGTTTCGGTGCACCCTCATAGTTTGTTTTTCCTCATATTTTCGACTATTGTTCCATTGTGCTAATCTGCATCACTTTTTTACTATCCTTTATTATGATTTCTCTTGACCGATACTTCAGTTTTTCTCACATGCTCCTAACTCTTTTCCCACCTCGGTATGTCCACGGCCTCCTTTTCATGTTTACAATTTAGTTCTTACAAAGCAAACTAAAATTATATATTTTATTTCCTTTTCGTCCACACAGGTTCCTTCATTGTCACAAATGATCCTACTGTTCATCCTAACAGTCCAGTTCACACTCCGATTATGGCTTCAGTACGAAGCACCACCTCGGAAGACGGCAGCCCAACACCTTCTCCACACGGTTACCATGCTTTTCTTTTTGTTTCATAGTTTTTCCCTCAATTTTATGTCTGCTATTTTTCATCCTATGTACTTTCAGCCTATGGGTTCGATTATTCCCCACTTTTTCTGTCAACAATGGACCAATCAAGCCATCAACAATCATCGTCTATTGTGACCGGCCGTACATATGTGAGTCCATCTAACGTTCTTCCAAAACTCATTCCACCCTTCTTTTTAAATTAACAACTAAATTACATTTATACATCATCTATCATTTCCTTAGTTTCAATATTCCTGAGGTGGCATCTGTTACTAGTTTCCTGATTTTTCTCTTTTTGGTAGACTGAGTTGGTACAAAATGATCCTCCTTTACATAGAGGCCGAATTATTCATGTAAGTGCACCTATCTGTTAATTCAATAACATTAGTTTTGTATACATGCTTGTGTTTTTGGCACCATCCTGTATGTTGTTAGATAACATTTTACTGCCACAAGTCACTGGTTTTCTGATTCATCTGAAAAGGGATACCTTTTGTCTTGTACTTAGTGCACAGTCATTTTCATTGACATGTAAATTCGACAACACCCTTCATTTGATTTTGAACTTGTAAACCAGTTTTCTAATACTATTCTACTGTTTTTATTTGAACATTCAATTATTTGTCCACCATACCTTATCTCATTTTCCTAATTGTTATTCAGTTAGTCATGTATGTCTCAATTCCAATTTCAATGTCAGCCCCTCTTTTGATTTTTAACATGCACACTATTATTTCATTGCTATTTTACTGACTTAGCTTCTTATTCTCTCAATAAATCTAAAGTATTTTATTTCGAGTTTTAAATTATATTGATCAAGAATCTTATCTTTTCTTTTTTTTCTTCTTTTAGCCACAAGGCTTCTCTTATACTGAAACTATTCCTACTTCATCTGCCTCCCACCATTCCCGTTTTGAGCATAACTCTCCTTATGCTCCTGAACTTCCTGAAGCATGCAGTAACAAAATAATCGGAAAAGACACCACTTCTGCATTAAAGTGGCCGATTCTAGATGATCTGCCTATGTTCAAGTTTCCTGGAAAGAGACTAACCAAGAAGCCATCCAAATTTTATTCACCCTTCAAGCATGGCATTCTGTCTCGTCCTCCACCCAATTTAGAGTTTTCTTTGCGTATGCATGCCTTCCTTTGTGCAGATGACTCTCCATTGAAAAGGTTCATTCTGATTTCATTTTCAAGCTTTCATTCTTTTCCTTCCATACTCCAGAATGCTTATTGAATTTTATTCAGGAAAACTTTGATGCACTTTGGGACAGAGTCATTGACTGGCCGAGATATTACACTTTCCTTTGGTATTGGAAAATTCATAGACCCTGTGTTCATGGATGCATTTGTCAAATGCATAGCTGAAGATGACTTTAATATTCGTCCTGAATGCCATGTGTTCAGAATATTCCTACAACCTCTTGTCTCGGTACGTCTCCCACATTTTTCAAACTAATCATTTCAAATTTTATTTTTTGATTACAACATTGATAACAATCCAATCATACTGTACAGGATATTCTTAAGTCAGACTCCTTCAGTATTCACAAAACTCAGCCTCAGTGCAGCCAGGACATTGTACTAGAAACTATCAAGCGATGCCTCCCCACGACTGACTTACAAAAGGCAAAGATGGTATGTGTATCACGAGTACATTTTTTTTCTTGCTTTAATCCTAGTAGTATACTGCTAAAATCGTATTTCTTTCGTATACACATCTTGCAGATATTTCTTCCGGTTTTACATCTTAGTCACTGGTTTGTATATTGTATCAATCTTGGCCAATCCCGTGTCGATGTCCTAGACTCAATGAACTATACTTCTAACAATGAGGTCACATGGGATACATATCATTCACCTATGGGCCAAATACTCATGGAACGCCTAAGTGCTGCACTATCTTTAGCTGCACCCCGCAAATTCCCCCAATTTGCAAACTGGAGACGTGTACCAATTCGGGTTCCATTTCAAAATAATATCTACGACTCTGGCATATTCTCCATTAAGTTTATTGAGTTCTATGACGGTGAGGGCCATGGTTCTCTGCACACTACTATAGATCCAGTACAAATCCTTTTTCTTGTTAATATATCTCTCATTTTATTTTTTGTTCTGTCTAACCTTTTTTCCTTGCAGGATCGATCAAAGGAGATGAGGGCAGAAATGCTACAATATCTAGCCTTTCATACTTTCAACAAAGTCCATGCTCCTCCTGAGCTTCTTCAATTCCGTATTGGAGAGTTCCATCCTCTCTTTTATTAGTGGAAGGCAGCTTTATTCCTGAAGATGCTCGTCATTCTAATCATTCACAGCCTCAAGGTCCACTCCCAGAATGTGCATTTATTTTGTCCAACATCACTTTTCCAAGAAGAGAAGTTCATCCACAACTAATTCCAAGCCTGGTTGGGCAGCAGCAGATAAGGAGATCAAGACGACCAAGGTGGCAAGTGAAGAAGCAACAGGAAACTCTAAGATTGAAGCCAAGTTATTTTAGATGCAACAAAATTAGCTGGTCACACTTTTCGACACTGCATTACACTATGTAGCTTTTGAGCAAGGCATTGAGTAGTTCTGTCTTGCCTTTTTGTTCATATCGGCAGCTTTTGTAAATTTAGAAGCATCAAAACAATATACATGCTATGTTGTGCTTATCAGGTTTGATTCATCAAAAAAATTGGATGGAATCCTGTTCAACTGTAATCCATTCAGCTAATACAGAGGCCAGAAGAACTTATTTATCCTCTTTTCTCACTCTTTGTTTTTTATGCAGATCTCAGGCGCTCGCCATCAAAGCATCCTCCATCTACTCCCCATGATTACTCACATAGGTAGTTTCTTCTACTATTACTAATTTGTTTGTGTGCTTAATTATGGTTCAAGATTTACAAGAGTATAAATATTGCATTTGTTTCCTTTGGAAATTAACTTCTTTTCTGCCTTGCTAATTTTCCAATTTTACACATTTTAATTTATGGTGGCTGTAGCTTCGAAACCATTAACACTAGTTATTTCTGATATTGGTCATTTTAGTTAGCTTTCCACCAGTACGAGACGTCTTCTTCTTCTGCACTCCATCAGCAACAGTGGCATGCCGATAGCACGAAAATGGTATGCTGGACAATGCTCTACACTTTTTTTTGGACTTATCACTGTCTCCACCAGTCATAAATTTGGTATTGTTTTTATGATTTATCTATCTTGATCTATGTATGCACTTGTTGATATTATAGATTTAATGTTTCTTACTGTTAATCATTGTGGTATGCTTTTGACAATTGCATGTCTGAGCACCTGATGCTCATATGCTCTTGAATCCCAAAGCTGATAATTGTTGTTTAAAATTACAGGTTTATTAGCTATTTGGCCGTTGAATCTTACTCAAATTGGTGTATGTTGTATTATTGAATTATATGAAGGCGCTGCTAGCTTGCTATGGACGACCGCTTTTTAATAGTAGGTACCATATTCATTCTTTAAGAAAGTGAAGAATTCACTTGTTTCAGCGTCTCCACAGAAAATATAGAATGCATTCATTGAAGTTTTAGTCTTAGAATATCCGTAACCTGCAGCTGAATTTTTTTCGAACTAAAATTATGTGTGTCCGAGGATTTCTTCATACTATTGTGTGCTTATTCCCTCAAATTATTCTTTATGAAAGTGAAGAATTCTTAAACCATTTCAATTTTTTATGACGGCAGCCAACTTTATTCGCTCATTCGGTAACAATTTTTTATAAGTAAAAAGCTAAAATCAAGTGATTTGGAGAGGGATAAGGGGAAGACGACCTGGAGCATGGAATTGCAAGTGTTGTGGTTGTAAGTCAAAAGGTCGCGGACGATCTTCCCTATAGTCTCGTTCTTTACTTTGCATGTCTACAATATCGTTCTATACTTTGCGCTCTTAGTGGCACTACAATCCAGTTGATTCGTGCCAAAATAGGCATGGTCATAGTGCATGGGTGCATGTAGTGGACAAAGGTGGTTGTGCACCTAAATAGGCTTTAGTTAGTTTCACGGAATGATCCGAACCACGCAATTCTGATGGGAGAAATGGCCAGGCATGTAAATTTTTCAAACCTGTCTCGCATGTACTAGATTATAAATATTAGAGAAAGTTCAGTTAATGGAGAGCGTATGAAACCAATTTAGAAAAGAGGAAACATGGCAACAGGAAGCAAAGGAAACAAAGGAAAAGGAGTATTGATGCGGATCGAGATAGAAGGAACGTTCAAGATGCGGATGGAGATAGAAGGAAAGTTGGATGAGAAGTGGAAGTAATCATGTCATTCTTTTGCTTTTAATTTAGTTGCATAAAGAAATGAGAACAAGTGCAAGGTTGTTGATGCCTTTTTTTAATGAAATTGCATATATATTATAGTTCTAACAAACGAGGAGTATGGTGCTTGGATTGGTGGAAGGAAATGATGGATTTATACAAAGATGGAAAGGTGTGTTGTTTACTTGAATAATATATTTTTGTATGGTGCAATTTGACTCATTTAATTTAGCTTTGGCGAGGAACATGGTAAATTGGGTGTTGTAAACTTTGATATGTTTAATACATGCAGGATTTGGAATTACCATTAGAAATGAAACGTAGACCAGCATGGTTTGAGAAGATGCAAGCAGCAGCAGCATATGGGACTTCGACACTCAGCAGGGAAGAAAAAGAAGATATGGCTGCAAGGTTTCCCACCGATGAGGAGCAGTACGATGAGACGTATTGGTACAATCGGGCTTGGCATGATGTATGGGATGAAGATGTGTGGGGCTTGTGCGCTATATGCGGATTTCAACACCATGATCCAAAAAATTGTCCATCTCCATTGAAGATGCGGCAGGAGCTAGATGGAACGTTGGATGAGAAGTGGAAATAAGCGTGTCATTGTGTTGCTTTGAATTTAGTTGCATAATTAAATGAGAACAACTGGACGGTTGTTGATGCCTTTCATTTTTTTGTAATGAAAATGCACATTATGAAATTGTGTTTCAAATAACAAAGAAATTTCGTCTCTAATGTGAGTAAGTGGATTGAAAATGTATATGGGTGTCATGATGAAAGTGTTGATGAAGCTGGCCTAGTTTAAAACTTAGGCACACTAGTATAATGCCCATGCTAACGCAACGGATTTATCTTAAAGACGCACATGAAAACAACCAATGTTTCTTTTTCATAGTTCAACTTTTACACAATATCTTTGAGCATGTATACAATCCGGGAAACTAGGAAGTCATAGTAAAGTTTTTTCTCATATAACATAGAACATAAGTGTTTTAAAAAAGTATAATATATATAAATAAAATATAAAGGAGTACACTGAACATATCTTACATTGCTGCAATCTTTAATTTTGTATTCCATGTCAGGCCAGCACTCGAGCACTTTTGCCAGTTTCTTGTGGTCTAGTTTGCCACAACATCGCGGATCTCGTCCAAACTATGTTATTTACATCATTAACAACAGAAGCGTCAGACATCTCCTTGGAACAATCACTGTCGCTATTATTCAGCACATGCCGTTAGCTGTATGATCAAATCGAGTAATGTAGGGAGGTAGTTCAATGGCTGCATCAATTACCTTGCTCCTATGTGAACTGCAAAATAGAGATATACATGCCAAAATTTGATATGTGCACTATGTAAGGTAGGCACAAAGCACAAAATGTAAGAAATGGGATATCATACATACACACATATGAATTGTTGAAAGCAAAGGTTTGGAATTGACAGTGGCAGATCTTTTGCATAGCACCATTCATAATCAAACTGAATTTGTGTGGTCTTGTATCTACAAACAGAGAAAAAAATGTGAGGAAATAATGTAGGTTGGTGAACTGGTTCGAGTTGGCAGTAATGTGAAATGAAACATATACTGTAATGTGAAATTGATTGGGACCAAAAAAAAAAAAGGTTTGAAAGCAAATGTGAAGTTGGAAGAGGTTCATCTACTGTAATGTGTATATGTAGAATTATAAATTTGTAATCCTAAAGAGAGAAGGACTTACATATGGCAGGCATGTCAGCTGAACAATAATCTATGTAGTAGTCTTGTTCGTCGAGAACCCTACATAAATAAAAGGCAAACCAATTAGATAAGTATAGTAACAAACCAAAACCTTACCGATCAATGTGAATCATCAGAGGGAACCTTCATCTGGTATACTGAACACTGTTCAGGTATCAATATCAGCGCACGGAGAAAACATTGTAGGGATAAATATTATTTATACCGATTGATCATGGTTAACTGCCTCTGGCTAGAACTTTGTAGGAATAAACATTTTTTATATGCATACAGAAACATAGGTAAACTACGGATATTCTTTGTAGTGGGCTAGTGGCTATTGTGGCATCATGAATTTATAACTGGTACAGAGAGAGGCCAAACTCCAAAATTCAGAGCAAAGGCAAAGATACCGAATGGACTGTAGAAAATGCACCGAATGGACCGTGTAGAAAATCCAGAGCAAAGATCCTAGGTAGGCCACAAATTCCCCCTTTAGGATGTGGAGTAAAGCACCATTATAGTTCTTATTCTGATTTGAGACTAAAAATAATTCTCACAGGACCTATTAGCAAACAATTTCTTTTGAGTTCTAGGACATAGCCAGTCTTAAACTCAAACCACATCAGAAAAGGGGGCACAAAACAATGACAAACCTGATTTGGAGAGCCTGTGTGTTATGACCGGCATGCATTATAGCCGGCAAAAGGGTATTAGTGGATAAGTCTAGATAATTTCTATAGAATCAGGGGGTTATTTTCATATTTCAATAGACGAGATAAATACTTGTGATCAGGGACTAATTTGGTAAGCAGAAACATATTATTGTTTCCGGCTTCCTGAAGGGAGCCGGGAGAAACCCTAGCCGCCGAGTTCTCTTTCTATCCCGTGAACAGTACCGCGATACTGTAGCGCCTTCGTCGTGTTCCTCGCTCTTCGTTGCGACCAGCTGCAAGGACGGCGCCTCAGAGCCGTCGCCGAGCTCGTCCCCCGATCTCTCACCCTTACAACCTCCGACCATTCGCCGGTAGGATCCGAAATCCTATCAATCTAGTATCAGAGATGTCAGGTCCCCAGCCCTCGGCCTCGCTTTACCCACCCGCGTCCTCCCCTCCGCTGTCCGCGCCGCCGCGCCCATCAAAGCCGCCGCCCTCCACCTCGCTCGCTGCCCCCATGACCTCTGGGGCGATCGTCGCCCACTCAGCGGGCGCGA